GTTTTTGGTTACAGGAATATTCATTATATTGTACCGAGTCTGACTAAAGCACACAAAAGACAAAAACTTTACAAAAAATTATATGGAATACAAAAAACATTTTACAGAATGTCCCCCTGGATTTTTTGGAATAAACTGTCTCGGGAATTGTATGACTTACTGTGGAGGAAACAGATCATGTGACCCCGTTACTGGTGTGTGTCATGATGGATGCATAGAAGGACTCAATGGAGCTCTATGTAATGAAGGTATATGTTGGATGAAAGGAGTGTTATACACATATTTTTTAAATTCCTGAGGAAAAAGTATTAAATATAGTCTTAAAAAGGGAAAATCACAATGCAATTGCCCAAAAAGTGTATCTGAAGTTGAGAAATGTAATAATTAAACTAAATATTGTAAAATTGTATTAAAAAACGGTTACAAAAGCGCTTGTTTCTTTGGTTCCTTTCGTAAAATTGAAATAAAATATGTTTATCTAATATTATACTGTGGTTTATGTGTTTCTTAATATGAAGGTTCACTTTCACATACATATTTAAATTTTATCATTTAAATGCATAATGGCACTTTGTTTTCACTTGTTTTAGCTTTAGTTGTTCTGTTGTTATATTCGTATTTTTTAGTTGTTCATAATATACATTAAAGTGAAAAAAATTAAATTTAAAACTCTAATGAACTCTAATGAAAAATAAAAATTTCAGAAAAACCCATCTCCAATCCTCGTACATGTAACAGTGACAAAACGAGCATTATTATTGGAGGTATCATCTCTGTTGTCATTGTTGTCATCGGAAGTGCAATCAATTTCATGCTGTGGAAGAGGAACCAATGTGAGTATAAATATTTTAAGTTTACTTTGTTGTATTGATTGGCTGATTGATATATAACTATTGTTTAATGCCGAGTCGGCACTATTTCAGCTATATTTTGACGATTAGATTTCATGACCCTTTCTTTCTAACATACAACATATTTATCCCATTATTTTTTTTTTCAAACAAAAAAACAAAAGATTTGACGTTATTTCTTTTTATTATATTCCTCATAGTTTTCGAGGTACACTGTATCAACAAGTACTCAAGTCTATTATTTTATTTATGAGTTTTAACATGCAAATTTCAATATTTTTTTCTGGGTAAATAAATTTAACAAAGACAATTCTTTTAATTTCAGCAATAATTGCAGTGAAATGGTGAGATTCGCCCCTTTTTGAAATTGTGAAATTTGTTATATCCAGGCAAATGATCCCAGATCTGGACTATTTATCCGATGACTAAATATAAATCCGGAATGCAGAAATTCTATTGTTTTTGTAATTATATATAACATCGAAATTTAATCTTAAGCTTCATCATTTTGTAATTGATGAATAATTAAGACCGTTTTTTCGAAAGTTGTCAACTTCATAAAAATAGTGATGTACTTCTTCTTCAGTGATCTTAAATCAAGTGCTGATCAAAAGGATGTTGACTTCACAGGTAAAACATGCCATATATCTCATTTACTTCTAATCAAATAACACGAACATTTTCAATTCCTAACAACTTAGAAAACAAGTATCTTTTTATTTCTGAAATTTACATTTATTACATAATTTCTTCAAACAATATCTGGTCCTTGAGTTGTAAACATTCTTTAATAGATGATTTTTTTTCTACTTGGAAGCTTAGAGTACTAATTTTCTTTTATTTATTATGATATTTGTATTAAAATTGAAATCAATTCACAAATCCTTTTGTTGATCCAAAACTGGTAAATAGAATTGAATTTTTCTTACAGTATATATAATACCGTATATAACAAAGGTCCATTACTACACTAGTCTAAATTTGCATCAATTCATTAAAAGTTTTACTTCTTTTAAATACGTCATGAGTTTATTATTTATTCTCACTCAAGAAAAAGAAATATTAAAAATTCACTATCACTTTTATTAGCTCACCTGAGCCGAGGGCGCAAGTGAGCTTTTTTTGATCAAAATATGTCCGTTGTCTGTCGTCGTCGTTGTTGGTGTCATTGTCGCACACAGTTCACATTTTCATCTTCTTCTCAAGAACCACTGGGCCAATTTCAACCACACGTGCCACAACGTATCCTTAGATGACGGGAATTCAAGTGTGTTCAAATGGAAGACCAGGCCCTTTTCAAAGAGGAGATATTTATGAATTAATGAAAAATAAATGTTATCTTCATAAAAATCTTCAGGAAAGATGAAACTTATGGGGAAGCATCCTTAGGTAGGGGTAGCATCCGGGGTAGGGCGGGACCACAATGGATGATAACAGTTTCACAAAGGAATACAATGTATACAGGTGAAATCTTTAAAAAAATCTTCTTCTCCAGAAGGGAAAAATGAAAGAAGATGGGCGGATAAGGCGGGCAGAATGCCTATAGCATCAGATATTAAAAAAATCACATTTGATATGTAAATTGAGTATATAAATTTACATCTCATTATTGAAATTTATGAAAATATGAGAAAAAAAAACATTTTCTGAGAAAAAATAAATCTCTTTAAAATTTCATTCATAAAAATATTCCATGGTATTCATGGGATTCGAACCCCGGCAATAAAATACCGAAGTATCAGACTGCTTTGACGCTAACGCGCTAACCACTTTGCTACATGGCTCTTGTGAATCATTGGCATTTAAATCATGTTTGTGATATGACCATTGACTTAATGGACTTGAAGTATTTCTCGGAAAGATGCGAATGTTTTGTCATAAAAGTCTATTTTTAAGGTATAGTGGGTCTTCCCTCCATTTTTTAGTAAACCAAAAAATATATAAATTATCGCAAACTTTTAGGATTATCTTTCAAAAAAATGGAGCGAAGACCCACTCACATTGAAAAAAATTGTTAAAGTATAAAAAAAAAAATGATCCTTTTTGCTCTTTTAAGTCAGTGTATGCTTTTTCATAGGCAAATATTTTCAGTTTTTGTGAGATTTTTGTAAATAATAGAGATTTTACATTAAGTATACTTTAATATTAGATGAGAAATGACATAAAATTAGGATATAATTGAGATTAAATTTTCCCCCTTCTTATCTGTCGCGCTATAGGCATTCTGCCCGCCTAATACGCCCATCTTCTTATGTGAAAGTATCCTCAGGTTGTGTAGATTCAAGTTTGTACAAATCATGATCCATGGGGGTATGACGGGGCTACAATTAGGCATCAACTTTTTGCAAATCTTCTCCAGAGCGGAAAAGTTTTGTTTAAGGTACATTGATACTCTGATAAGAGAGATAACTCTTAATGACACTAATGTCTATTATTCTTTTATAAATTTGTCAAGTTTAAGTACCTTTTCTGTCAAATTTTGCCCCGCAAGCCATGCTATAATTTGTTGGATTTTATTCAGCATATACATTTCCCTTGGAAAAGCATAAAAGTTAAAGAAAAATTTCATATGAGTGAGCAGAGGGTTTATGAACCTTAATCAATTTTACATGTAAGCATCTGCAAGTTGTTGAGTTTGAAATTTATTGAAACAAGAGGCCCATGGGCCACATCGCTCACCTGTGTACTGTACCTTAGAAAAAGTAGAAATTGGTTTATTATTGAAAAGTTAAAATCCAAAAGTAATCCCATGATCAATCATGGATTTGCTATTCTTAAAAGAATTTTCCTATATATTTCTATGTAAAACTTTGGTCGGCCATTTTGGCCCCGCCCTACCCCCCGGGGGTCATGATTTGAACAAACTTGAATCTTCACTACCTGAAGATACTTTCATATAAATATGATGAATTATGGCTCTGTCATTCTTGAGAAGAAGATTTTTAAAGAATTTTCCTATATATTTCTATGTGAAACTTTGGTCGGCCATTTTGGCCCTTCCCTACCCTCGGTGGTCATGATTTGAACAATTTGAATCTACACTATCTGAGGATGCTTCCATATAAATATGATGAATTATGCCTTTGTCATTCTTGAGAAGAAGATTTTTAAAGAATTTTGATATATATTTCTATGTAAAACTTTGGTCGGCCATTTTGGCCCCGCCCTACCCCCGGGGGTCATGATTTGAACAAACTTGAATCTTCCATACCTGAGGATGCTTCCATATAAATTTGATGAATTATGGCTCTGTCATTCTTGAGAAGAAGATTTTTAAAGAATTTTCCTATATATTTCTATGTGAAACTTTGGTCGGCCATCTTGGCCCCGCCCTACCCCCGGGGGTCATGATTTGAACAAACTTGAATCTACACTACCTGAGGATGCTTCCATATAAATTTGATGAATGATGGCTCTGTCATTCTTGAGAAGAAGATTTTTAAAGAATTTTCCAATATATTTCTATGTAAAACTTTGGTCTGCCATTTTGGCCCTGCCCTACCCCCGGGAGTCATGATTTGAAAAAACTTGAATCTACACTACCTGAGGATGTTACCCCATAAGTTTCATCTTTCCTGGCACAGTGGTTCTTGAGAAGAAGATTTTTAAAGAATTTTCCAATATATTTCTATGTAAAACTTTGGTCGGCCATTTTGGCCCCGCCCTACCCCCGGGGCTCATGATTTGAAAAAACTTGAATCTACACTACCTGAGGATGTTACCCCATAAGTTTCATCTTTCCTGGCACAGTGGTTCTTGAGAAGAAGATTTTTAAAACATGCCACCAAATTTTCATTAATTCCCAATTATCTCCCCTTGAATAAGGGCGTGGCCCTTCATTTGAACAAACTTGAATTCCCTTCACCCAGGGATGCTTTGTGGCAAGTTTGGTTGAAATTGGCCCAGTGGTTCTAGAGAAGAAGTCGAAAATGTGAAAAGTTTACAGACAGACAGACAGACAGACGGACAGACAGACGGACGCCGGACAAAATGTGATCAGAAAAGCTCACTTGAGCCTTCGGCTCAGGTGAGCTAATAATGTGTGTGTGTGGGGGGAGGGGAAGGGGTCACAATGGGAGATCAAGAAGTATGTTTGAAAAATCTTTAAAAATCTCCTTTTAAGCATGGCAAAATTACACATGTATGCTTAACTGATATAGTGACATTCTCAAGTAATCTAGAAAATTCAAACTCCCCTCTCCCAACAAGTTTACTTTTCAATACTGAGCTGATATGTGTTTCAACTTGCCCATGTGCTCAGGTGAGCAATGTGGCCAATGAGCTTCTTGTTTCAATTTTCAATTAATGCATATTTATTATAAATAATAAATATGTATATCAATGTTTTTTCATTGTGTTGCAAATATATTATTTCAGACATTCCTTCAAATGGACATCAGTATGTATTATCAAGCTTATCTATTTATTTGTTTTGAAAGACGTTTTCACCTTTTTTTGCTGAAAAAAAATCTTTGTACAATAAATATAACATATTTATTTCAGGGGTAGCTCCATTTATGCAGAACTTGGAGCTCTAGACAAACACTCTACGTACGAGGAGCTACATCAATATGCCGAGGCTGTCAACAGATAATAACAAGTTAAATTGATGCAAAGCATCAAATCGGCCGCGAAAATAAATTATTATATTAGCTTAAGGTATACGCAATGTAGTTTGAATTTTTTCCCTTTATCCATGGAGTCGAAGAGTTCCAATTCTTGAAGGAAGTGCGTGCTGTATTTTAATGTCAATACATGGCATTGTATATATCTTCTTAGACAATTTTGCATAAGAGAAACATCTAGAATATATGTTAAGTATTTATAAATATTTACAAAACCAAGATAAAAAAGAATTGCGCGCGATTAGGATTGCATAATCATAAAAAGATTTCATTTAATGACAAAATGCAAAATAAAATCTAAAATTACTATTTATTGAAATATAATGGATCTTTGTTGCATTATAATGACGATGCTGACATCTGTGAAATGAGAAAAAAAATCATTGTTTCATTTCAACTGTAGTGTATTTGAAATAAAATTCAATACTTTTTAAATACTTTAAATGCATCAATTTATTAGTCTAGATATGTATTCATACTTGGAAACTTAATACGTCTTCTTTCAATATTTACACACGCCCATAAATTGGGGAGTAGTTCTTGCAATAACCTTTTTTAATAATTAAAGGAATATCTGATAAGAAACGTAAGACAATATAAAACGTCCTAACAGCTATTAAGAGTACACATTTAGCAAATTTTAAGAACTTTTATTTGTAACTTAATGACTTGTTCTCAATATCTCATCCAAGCAATCAAACAAATTACCGGTACGTCTCATTTACCATGTGCACATATAACACTACGACAAAAAGTATAAATGGTTTGAAAAACACTTCTTTTTAATTTTCAATATATTACTATTCCTTTTTTTAATATTATGTATTTATTTGTGTTCCTAACAAATAATCGATTCGGCATACATTTAGAAAAATAAAGAATATTGAATTGAAATAGATTTTTTTGTTGAATTTGTTCCTCTTGAGGTGTAAAAATAGTATAAGTAATAATTTGTCGCAAATGTTTTGCGAGGAATTTGCTTCTAACTTCATTTCTATGCATTGAGATTCCTAGAGATTGGTAATGAACAGAATCTGTTTCTGAAAAAATCACTGCGATAATAATTCAATAAAGAATAAAACAAATCATTATAAGACATCTAATTCTATCCTTTTTTATTTTATTGAATGAACTAATTTTAAGTTTGTACAAACCTTTTGAACAACTACAAAATATTTACAACGAATTGTTTAAAAAAAAGAAACAGTGTTTTACATGCTATTCGTTTCAGCAGTTCTCAATACATGTTCTGCCTGTGCATAGACAACTCTCGTTGCCATGATTTTTTGAAATTTCTTCAAGTTCCTCTTCTCCTCTTTTTTATTTTCACTTGTTTCTCTTTTCCCTTCTGTGAAAAAGGGGAAAGCATAATCAATGATCTAAAATTGCTTGGAAATTTCTCAAAATATTCCTTTTTCTTGTTTGTGCAGAAATGAAGAATAATTATATTTAAGAAAGCCGATTATTTAATATTTCTGCAAAAAAGGAACCTTCTTCTACGCAATAACAAAGAAAAAAATGTTTCCGATGACTGAACAAACGTTGAAACCTCAAGATTTAATATATTATATTTACAGAGAGAAGACTGTAAGGAACCCTTTATAAATTTTTAAATATATATATATATATAATTGCTCAAAGCTTGATATCGCAAACTTGGTATAAGCAACAAGAGGACAAGGAGACACACCACTCATCTGAGCTCTGGCTATGTGAACTAACAGCGGAAATCAGTTCAGTATTGAAAAAATAAAATCTCAAAGTGGATTCCAGTGGGAACATGATTTGAACAGACTTGAATCTATACCACATGAGGATGCTTCCATATAACTACAGTGTATGACCAATCATGGCTTTGCTGTTCTTGAGAAGAAGATTTTAAAGATTTTAAAGATTTTAATGATTGTACTCCTATGTAATACTTGACCCCACATTGTGGCCCCATCCCGGGGGGTGTCATAATTTGAATTAACTTAAATCTACACTATCAGAGGATCCTTCAACATGAGTTTTAACTTTCCTAGCCCAGAACTTCTGGAGAAGTTTTTTGAAGATATTCCTTGTGTAATCTTTTGTTACATGTAAACTTTCACCCCCCTTTGTTGCCCCACCATACCCCTAGTGGTCATGATTTTAATATACTTGAATCTACACTACCGGAGAATGCTTTCCCATGAGTTTGAGCTTTCCTGGCCCAGTAGTTCTCGAGAAGACAATTTTTTTTCAAAATTTTACCTACATGTATATATTCCTATGTTAAACTTTGACCCTCCCCCCCATTGTGGCCCCACCCTACCCCTGGAGGTCATGATTGAACAATCTTGAATCTGCACTACCTGAGGATGCTTCCAAGAGTTTTATCTTTCCTGGCCAAGTGGTTCTTGAGGAGAAGATTTTTTAAAAATGCCATTAATTTTCCACTAATTCAAAATTTATCTCCCCTTGGAAGCTGACATGGCCCTTCATTTAAACAAACATGAATCCCCTCCACCCAAGAATACTTTGTGGCAAGTTTGGATGAAATTGGCCCATTGTTTCTTTAGAAGATAAAAATGTGAAAAGTTTACAACGACGCCTAAAACGTCAACAACAACGACAGACAACGGACAAATTTTTATCAGAATAGCTCACTTCATCCTTCGTTTCTGGTGAGCTAAACAGTGAAAACATTCACAAAAGTTAGCTGTTTTTCCTACAGTATGTTTACACGCTTGAAAATTACTTACGATTATTTTTCACTCTGTTTTTGCATTTTTGAAACAGGCAACTGATCATGTAACTCAAAAAGCAAATTATGTTTATTAAGGAAGGCTTTCGATACTCAAAGTCCTTTATGACCACATAGCGCTCAAACATCCATAGTTTTTCGGAATTCGATTTGACTCTCCCAAATGTGTAGCTAAAGAAAAAAATAAAGACAGTTATATGGTTTCAAATGATTTTAAAAGTTCGGTATAGTAAAATTTATCCTCTTAGTTTGTACAAAATGTCGGTAAGTGGAATGTACATGAAATAGGACAGACTAACATGCAGTAGAACAGATGAAAACAATGCGTTCAAACATATGTTAAATGTAAGTGCCCTTGGAATATAATACAGTACAAACCTGAACATAGCTATTACAAGGTTCACTAGTAGAAGGTTGGAGAATAACATGTAAAATGCAGCGATCAAAACAACTGTCCAGTCCTCGCGTGGACATCTCTCTTGAGATGGGTCTGAGGACCAAATAGACGTAATATTGGTACAGTCGGACTGGTCCTTTCCTGATATCATTAATAAATGTATATATTAAAGGTTGAAAAGTAACTTTAAAAGCTACCTAAATTATTCTGCATTTGATGAAGTGTATGACCTATTCTAACCCAGGCTATACATTAATTACTTGTAGAGATATTTAATATATTCCTGATTTTTGTATCTTCTATCATAAGTTTAAGGTATTAAAAATTCCTTCAAATGTGACAATTTAAAAATGTGTATTTAATGTCGGCAGAGATCTCGACGTTCAGATGTAACTCTGCTTTAACCAACACTGGTAATACACTTTTTTATTACTTTTCTATAACATCAAGTGACTTAGTATGCCATCAAGAACAGTACTATTCTTGATAAGAATTTCTGTAATCTAATTCATATTTTCATGTGTACAACCAATTACCGGTACTGTTAATGTATTTTATTTAACTTGTACGATATTTAGCGGAAATTGAAATTTTTAACAATTTAACGTGAATTTTATTAATTAGAGCATTTCTTGAAGTGAGGTTCTTATTGATCTACATGAATATATATATTCGGATCACTTAGCGTTGTACTTAAAATAGCTGATGCAAAAGAAAGTCACATGTAATGCGTTTACTGTACTAACCACTGATGTATTCTTCGTTAGGTTCTCCATAAAGCTGCCAGTAAGGAAGACTGATGATTTTCCAGATCCTCCATGATCCTAAAGACCCGTCACCAAATATGTACACGTGGTCTGGCCAAAGATTTGCATGGTAATATATTCCTACTCCAAATATCACAAATATGGCCAACCATATAAACGTTATAAGGTCCTTCAACTGGATAATTTAGAAAATAAATAAATACATATTTCTTGTTTAAACAACATTTGATGATGTTATAATTAAAATATACAGAGTACAATCATTATTTTGGTAAAAAGAACATTTTAACGAATGAAATATTGAGCAGAGCAAACATCATATGCGGAATTCTGTGTAGTGTACTACAGTGTACATAGTTTAAACCATAAGAGTAGAATTCACAATTTCTGAATCATGATTTAAATTAAGGTATAAAAGACATCAGTCAGTATTTATCAGATAATAAATTTTAATTGCTAGGGAGATCATTTTTTCCAATAAAAAAAATTATTTAAGAAATAATATGGGATATGACATGAAGTCGGTCACGTGATCAAATTCTATAACTTCATGTCATATATAAACAACAAGGAGACATAATCCTCATTTTCAGTGATAAACGTACATTGAAGTCATTTTTGTTAGGTAATATTTGCCAAAATATACCATAGCAACTCTAACCTTCATGTACTATTATGTCGTATTTTGGCCTAGTTAATTACATATAATGCACATTGTTAGACTTTAGAATGCTATGACTCCCTGATTAATATAAAAACACAATGCTGGATTTAGCTGCA